ATTTTCTCTTTCTATCATGTCTCAAAATAATGAAAACTTCATTAGAATTTTGATAGGTTCTGAAACCTACTTAGGAGTGATTTCTAAGTCCCAGCTTCAGTGAGAGACCTGGCCTTGAGGAACAAAGAATGACAAAAGAGGACTCCTGACATACTTTTAGGGTACATACACATGCACATACTTTGGATATATCACACCTCATGTAAACACACAAATAGCTTTTAAGTGTCATGTTCCCTACCAGACAATAAAACTGCAATAATTAGAACAGTGTGATTCCAGTATAAGAAGAGCCCATTGGCATGAAATCAGAAGTGCAGAAGCAGCCTCGTGAACGTGATACTTGAGATGGGCTTTTTGAAAGAGTGAAAACTACTTAACCTGAAAAGTGCTAAATGAAATGTAGTCCTACTGATAGAAAACTAAGAAGCAACAAAGAAATGGATATATGACCTACCAAAGTTAAATCCATTTAAACAGACCCATGACTCCTAGTGAAATAGAAGTAGTAATTAAAAGTCTCCTAACAAAAAAAGCCAAGGGTCAAATGGATTCAGGGAAGAATTCTACCAGACCTTCAAAGAAGAATTAATAATAATCAATACTCCTCAAATTATTTCACAAAATAGAAACAGATCTATAGTTATCACCATGCATAAAACTCAAACCCAAATGGATCAAGGACCTCAACATAAGACCAGATACCCTTAATCTAATAGAAGAGAAAATGGGGACTAGTCTTGAACTCATTATCACAGGAAAAGACTCTCTGAACAGGACACTGATAGCACAGGTACTAAGAACAGCAATAAGCAGACCTCGTGAAAATGAAAAGCTTCTATATAACAAGGGACACCATCATTCAGGAAAAATGAGAGGCTACAGAATGGGAAGAGATCTTTACCAACTACATATCCAATAAAGGCTTAATATCTAAAACATACAATGAACTAAAAAAAACTGAACATCAGGAAGACAAATAACCCATTTAAATGGGGTACAGAATTAAACAGAGTTCTCAAAAGATGAGACACAAATGACTGAGAAATAATTAGAGAGATTTTCAACATCCTTAATCATCTGGGAAATGTGATTCAAAACTACTCTCAGATTTCACCTTATGTACTAGTCAGAATGGCCAAGATCAATAAAACAAATGACAGCTCATGCTGGCAAGGATGTGAGGAAAAAGGGACACTCATCCATTGCTGGTATAGCCACTATGGAAACCAGTGTGGCAGTCCTCGAGAAGCTGAGAATAGATCTACCTCAACTTTAAACCATACCACTCTTAGGCATATAGCCAAAGGACTCAACATTCCACTACAGAGACATTCATTCATCCGTGCTCATTGCTGCCCTATTTATAATAGCCAGAAATCAGAAGCAGCCTAGATAGATGTCCATCAACAGACGAGTGAATCAGGAAAATGTGGTACATTTACACAATGGAAAGTTTTTGAAAACTCATGAATTTGCAGGTAAATGGATGGAGCTAGAAAAACTCAACTGCAGTGAGGTAACCCAGACCCAAAAAGACAATATGGTATGTATTCTCTTACATGTGGCTTATATATTAGCCTTCAATAGGAGTGCTACAATCCATATAACCACAGAGCTTAAGTATAAAGTAAGCAACTAGGGGAGGGGGAGGATTGCTCAAGGAAGAGGAAATAGAATATACAGCTATGGGGGAGATAGGGGAGTCTGGAACAAGATGATTAAACAAGGGGGGGATCCAAGAGACGAGTAAAGGTGGCAATGCAGGGAGGGACAGCAAAAGCTAAAGGCCATTTGAGGGGCCACTGGGAACCTACCACAGCAGAAGCTGCTTCAAATATATACATAAAAATGGAGTCACCAAATAACAGGGGAGGCCATGCCCCACCTAGGTATCTTCCCACCAAGTGGACCTCCCAGTGCAGGAACGAGCCACATCTACTCCAGCCATTGACCAAAGAAAGCCCCCAAACATCTCAAGCTATTGCCAAGGCTGTTCGTTGAACTCTGCAAACTGGTGGTAAAGTCCTGTTGATGAAGGTAATACATAACTCCTTGAACCCAGAGAAGTTGGCTGAAGCCTAACTAGAGTCTTTGTTGCTACTGACTAGTGTTCATGGTACTAAAAGGTAGTCTGTGGTGGTATTGTGTTCCCCAAAATATTGTGCACCCTAATAAACTTATCTGGGATCAGAGAACGGAACAGCCACTAGATACAGAGGCTAGAAAATGGTGGCACTCACACCTTTAATCCTAGCCTTCTGGAGGCATGAATATCTGTGAGTTCAAGGCCACACTGGAAATAGCCAGGCATGGTGACACATGCCTTTAATCCCAGGGAAAGATGGCAGAAAACAGAAAGATATATAAGGCCTGAGGACCAGAAACTAGAAGTATTTGGCTGGTTAAGCTTTCAGGTTTTAGCAGCACAGTTCAGTTGAGATTCATTCTGGATGAGGACTCAGAGACTTCCAGTCTGAGGAAACAGGACCAGCTGAGGAACTGCCGAGGTAAGGAAGCTGTGGCTTGTTCTGTTTCTCTGATCTTCCAGCATTCACGCCAATACATGGCTCAGGTTTGATTTTAATAATAAGACCTTTTAAGATTCCTGCTACAGTAGTCTGCACTCTATCAGAGGAAAAAGGTAACCACCAATGCAGCTACAAACCCTTTGCTCTATAGTGGCGACCTGCCTGAATGACACATTGGGGCAACAGTGGCATAAACATTGCAGGAGTAACCAAGTCATCTCTCAATGGATTTATGTCCCACTCCATGAGATGAAACCCTTGCCTGACACTGCTCAGGTGACCAAGAAACTGAGACTAGATAGGTCGTAGGCCTGAGGGAAAACCAAATACTGTTGTTCTGCTAAAAGAAAGAAAGAGAGAGGGGGAGGGAGAGAGGGAGAGAGGGAGGGAGAGAGGGAGGGAGGGAGGGAGGAAGAAAAAGAAAGAAAGCAATAAAATGACTCCTAATGACATTCTGATAAACTCATAGGTCAGTGCCTCACTCAGACATCATCAGAGAAGCCTCCTCCTGCACAGATGGGAACGAATACAGAGACCCACAACTGGACAATAAGCATAGAGTGGAGAGATCTTGGAACACTCAGTCCTAAATTGGATGGCTCCATCAAGTCTCTCCCCTTGGAGCTCAGGAAACAATTTGGAGAGAAGGCAGGCGGATTGTAAGAGCCAGAGGGGGTGGATCTCACCATGGAAACTGTCTCACTACAGGACTGACACACATATGAACACAGAGACAGGGCAGCACGCACAGGACCTGCACAGGTTCAAGCCAGATGGGGTCCCAGCACTGAGAGAGGGAAGTGGACACGGGCTGCCATGCCAAACCGAGAAGCTGTCTCCAACTGACAACGCTTACAAGGGAAAAATCAATTTTCTCCAATGGAGTCTCACTGGGTATACAAACTACACTTAAGGGTAGGCTGCATGTCATAGGTGGCCAACAAAGACGAACTCAGTGATGTTTTTGTAGGGTTTTGGTTTTGTTTTTATTTTTGTTTTGTCTCATGTTGGGGTTTTTTTTGGGGGGGTATTTTTTACCTTACTGGTTTTTGCTTATATATTATACTTTCCAATTTTGTATTTTTATAGGTTTTGCGCTCTCTCTCTCTCTCTCTCTCTCTCTCTCTCTCTCTCTCTCTCTCTCGTGTGTGTGTGTGTGTGTGTGTGTGTGTGTGTGTGTGTGTGTTTCTTGTGCTTGTTCATTGTTTTTTAAATCTGTTTTCTTGTTTTTACTTGCCTGGTTGTTTTCTAAAGAGAGAGGGAAAGAAGGCATGGAGTTGGGTGGAAAGATGGGAACAATCTGGAGGAAATGAGGGAAGGGACTATGATCAGAATATATTGTATGAATTCTTAATAATAATAAAATAAAATAAAACAAAACATAGAGCCACTTGGCTCCTATGACCGAACACACACACACACACACACACACACACACACACACACACACTCACACAAAGAAAAAGGAGGAAGAGGATGAGGAGGAAGAAGAAATAAACAAAAAATGTTAAAAATGAATATAAACAAGATAAAGTTCTGTTCAGTCAAAAAATAATAACAGACTTAACAAATTCCACTTCTCTTGTAATATTTACTTTATTTTTAATTATGTGTATGTGCATGCATCTGTGTAGGGGTGCAGTGCCCACGGAGGCCAAAAGAGGGCATGAACTCTCTGGAGTTGAAGTTACAGGCAGTTGTTAGCTTGCTGACAAGCGTTCTGGGGACTGAACTAGTGTCCTCTACAAGAGCAGTACTCACTCTTAACCACAGAGCCCTTCATCCAGCCCCCAAATTTCCAGTTCTGGACATAGCTGGAGGAGCCCTTTTGCCATAAACAACTAAAAAACTCATCATACTAACATACAAGAAACCACTATTTCCAGATACTGGACAACAGGCAGACTAAAACTTTGGGCCAAGTTAGGGAGCTGGGAAGCAGATGGGGAACCTGTGGCCTCCCTGGCTTTCTTTCTGAAAGTTCTTCCACAGAGCAGGGGAAAGAGTATTAACCAAGGTATGGCATTCTATCCACACTGAGGAAAGAGAGAGCTCATTACAACTTGAGGGCAGAGTATGAAGAAGCCAGAGAGACAGACAGACAGACAGAGATCCAGAAACCTGCATGGGATTCCTTGTGTTCCACAGACACCAACGGAGAGCTACTGAGGTTCTCATCCTAAGGTGAGCAAAACATAGAATCCCTGTAAAGATTAGCAAGATGAGCAAGAAGGTAGAGACCCTACCCACCTCCAGGGGACAAGGGGGAGAAACAGGACCCCATCTGCACCCAAAAGAAACCCATGTAACACCTGGGGTGGCTTAAGAAGGTCCTGCAGTTCTTGGGGAACCCCTATTGCTGACTGCAAAACCTGTGGAAAGTGTGCCTGGAAGAACAGAAAGACCCTGAGGGGAAGGAGGGCCGGTACCGGGAGACGCAAGGATGAAGGCAGCCACAGGACAAACGGGTACCAAGTTTCTTCCATTCAGTGAGTGTTTATTGAAGACCTGACAGGGCAGGGATGTCGGGGTGCCAAGGGGGCACAAGCACGCAGGCTTATCTTTAAGAAGCCATCTCGCTGGAGGGGCCACCAGAAGCAAGCATGAAATGGTTAAACAAGGGGCAGCACCGGACACAAGAAGCCCGTGGCGAGTCCAAGGCTCTGGGACTCCACTCGGGACCATTCAGGCCACAGCCTGACCTATGGGCTTCTTGCACACCCAGGGGTAGGTGGCCCCACAGAGTATGTCATTCCACAGCTGCTGCATGTGGACGCAGTCTTCAAACTCTCCATTCGTGTGTCTCCAGTTGTCAGGCTGATTTTTTGCCCAAAACCTGGAAGCAACATGGCCTTACTCTGCTGGAGAAAGCAGGATTCCTTTCCCATGCATAAAGAAAGACCTCAGATGGGGCCAGGACTGGGGCTGGAGGAGCCCTCAGAGTGGCCCTGCTGAGGCTGCCCTCCCTCTGTTACAGATCATCCAGGGTCTGCAGGGGCATCCTCCACAGAAATCACACTCGGAGGCTCTCTATCAAAAGGGCCCAGGCCAAGTAGGCAGGAGACAGATGAACAGATGACATCAGAAAAACAAGATGACAACTGGCCTGCCAGCCCCAGGGCCTGTTATTTCCTGATGCTGTTCTTCTGGCCTCATAGGTCCACATACTACATGTCCTATCACACACTACAAACATTGTACATCATACATGTCACACTCGTCACATCACATCACATATATGAACACACATATACACTCCATGCACACATCACAAATACACTCTATATGTCACACACACACACACACACACACACACACACACACACAACTATCACTCACTGCACAGGATCATACACATAGGATAGTAAAGCTTGCCCAAGACAATTCCCAGACAGTGCTAAACAGAGGTTAGACTCACCCCTTGCTCTGGGCATGATTGAATGGTGTCCCATCTACCCAGCGCCAGTTGCCTCCCATACCCTGGTCAGTGAGCCCGATCCAATGGTACACAGTACTTGTAGACTTTACCAGGAATGCCTGTGCAGAGGAGGCAGGACTGTGAGGAACTGACTCTCCGGACCATCCCTCCCCTGACCCCTGCGCAGGAAGCCCTTCTCAATACAGGAGCTTCCAGAACCTTCCATGGCTTATCCAATACCTGGAGCAGCTTCCCCCATATTGACTGTCTTAAGGGGTGTGGCTTTGCTGGGCCAGTTTTCATCCTAGTTTATTCTTAGCTGAGCTGTAACAAGTTCTAGGAGAATGGCAAGGACCGGACAGTTCTGCAAGTTGAACCAACCTGAACCTTGCATAGTCCCCTGTTAGGCTGGTGAGTTCCTTCCAGGCCCTGAACCGAAGCCCCTCAAAGGACAGTATTTCCTTAGAGAGTCCCCCTCCTTTAGGAGTGAGTCAAGCTCCCAGAGGGCCTGCGTCTCCTTTTCAGCAGGCTTCTACTGAACATTTTGATCTAGACCGATGCCCAGAAAGGAAGGCTGGCAGGAGCTGAGAGAAAGAAAGAGAGTCGCATCTCCTAGATTGAAGAGTGGGACAGGTGTCTTTTCCTGCCCTTCTTGTTGGTATCTGCTGGAAGGTCTTCCTCCCTTCCTGAGCAGCTGGCAGCAGCTGGCGGTGCTTCCGCCTCAGTACAGAGTTCTCTTGGGGACTCAGCAAATGCGTGTTCCTTGCCTAATGGGGACATGAGGAGCTCCACCACCCATCAGGGGGACAGAAGGCTAAGTTTGTGTGCCCCTGACCATACACCTCTCCTCAGCCTGCCCCAGGCCCGCAGCTCTGACCTGTTCTTCCTGAGAGGTCACTGATGCCAGGTGTGCTCCCTGGGACACACAGAACTCCTCAGCCTCGTGCCACGACTTCTCCTCGTGAGAAAAGTAATACAAGCTTCCACGGAAGACCTTCCAGCCCTGCAGGATCAGCTGGAGAAGCTGATCTAGAACAAAGGTCGGGAGGAAGGGTCAGAAGCAGACAGGGATGTCCCAAAGCCGGCCTCCACTGTACCAGGTCTGACCTTGGATGACCACAAGCCCTGCCAATTCCCAATGCTCAGAGCTCCTGGAGCAGGACTGGGACATCACACCCCAGTCCCGTGGCCCCATCCTAGAAGCAGTTTTCCAAGACACCTAGGTGTCTCTGTCACTCCTGGGGAGTCTCAGCTTTGTCACCCATCAGCACTCTCTGCAAATACCTGCTTTCTGATATACAACACTCTCCCACTCATAACAGTCACCGGCCATTTCAGTCCACTTCCGATCCTGCGACTGGCAACCTCTTTCACTTCCTGACTTCTTCTCCACCCACAGACTCCAGCACACACCCACGTTCTCTGTGAGAATGTTCAAACTGGAGAAGCCAGAACAGGATGGAGGCACAGCTTACATTTTTTTTAATTTATTTATTAGAAGGGCGTCACACGCATGTGGCACAGCACACATGTGGAAGCCAGGGGACAGCTTGCAGGAAGCAGTCCTCTCTTCCCACGGTGTGGGTTCCGAGTAGCAAACTCAGGTTGTCAGTCTTGGTGACAAGCACTTCAGCTGCTGAGCCAGCTGGCCCAGCCAGGAAGAAGACACTGTCAATCAGTCAGAAACATCAAGGACCATGCAAGAAGTGAGGTCTCAGGGAAAGACGGTGAGTGTGGAAAACAGGGATTCTCAACGTGTGGTCCCAACCTGGCTGAGCCAGCATGGTCTGGAAACTGGCCGAGATGCACGTTCCTTCTCTGCTCAACTCCCAAATGCCCTTTGACACACACCATGCGTGCATGGTTCTGCCTGCCCTGTGGGTGATTCTGGCATTGTCTGAGGTCTGAGGTGGAAACGGAGATGGGCAAACTGCATCCTAGCGGCCCCTTCTCTGAAAGTCTTACTGGAGCACAGCCCTGTGGTATCTGGGGCTGCTTCCTCTCTACGGCAGCAGGAAGCAGTTCTGACAGAGACCCTCCAACACAGAAGCCTAAAATACTCTCTACTTTTCCCTTAAAGAAAAAGTTCAAGGACTTGGGAGATGGCTGCACACATGTGAGGAGGACCTCGTTCAACTCCCAGCACCCACATAAAAGTCCAGTGTGCTGCACGGTGTGCCTGTAATATCAGTGTTGGGAGGTGGAGACAGGCAGGTCTCTTAAACTCATTGGCCAGTCAGCTTAATGGGACTGATGAGAAACATTGTCTCCAAAAACAAGGTGGGAGGGCTGTGGACGCCGCTCAGTGGGTAGAGTGTTTGCCTATTGTGCAGAAAGCACTGAGTTCTGGCCACAGTACTGCATAACCCAGGCTCAGTAGG